TACACATTTCCTCTTGGCTGCTGCTGCCTATTGTGTTCTTGCTGCTCTTTCTCTATTGGGTCATTTTCAGCTAGCTCCTCGGGGCTGTGGAGCTCAGGAGGCCCCTTCTTGTGATTTGTAGGAGCCCAGGGAAAGCCATGAATAAATAGTGCCCGGCCCTACGTACCTGGCTGCTCCATTCCGAGCCTCACGTCCTGTCCTTGCTGGGCTCTGTGGCTGTGCTGTGTATTGTGGCTCAGGCAGGCAGGACCTCTAGCTTGGCTGGAAATGAGGATTTTAATAAGACCCTCAGAGGATAATGGTGCTGCCAGAGGGACCCTACGGAGGCTCCATGCAGTAAAGAAACAGCCATGCAGTTCCTTTTTCCTCCTGAGAATCCTCCTCAGCCCTGAGCTGGATATCCTGTGTCATGGCTGTCACCTAGGGGCACTGGCTCAGTGCCCCTCTTGTGTCAGTTGAGGGGAATTGCTGAGACACTCACAACCTGTCCTGTGCCTCTGCCCAGGAACTAATCATATGGCTGCTCCAGGCAGCACTCCTGCATGGCAGCTGCCTGCTGCTCAGGCAGGCAGGGATGAGTTGGAGGAGGCGCGGGGCAGTAGGTGGGGCCGGGGGAGAGACCTGGCCCCAAATATTGGTGAAGCTGGACCTCTGGGCCAGGAATAATCCTGGAGTCTGGACATCACGGGCCCATAGAACTCGCCACCCCTGCTCCTAGCCCGAAGGGTCGGAGGAGTTAACGGCGGTCTCTGGAGCAGTGGGCTCTGCTTTTGAAAGGTGGCATGCAAAGGCTACTCTGTGCACCCACTTCCAAACCCCATTTAGGTATGGTGTCTTAAGAAGGCCTGATTATTTCCCTCTTGCTTTTACCTTAGGGTTTGTCTGCCCTGTTTTTCCAGGGAGTGTCAGAGCGTCATAAATCTTTCTTTGGAGGCCTGAGTGGAGGCATGGGAAACTAACAGGAGTAAAAGCAGAGGAGCACCGTGGGGCACGGATTTTTGTCAGTCAGGCTGTTTACACACTTGTTCACTGCTGACTGTGAGTGAACTGAAAGGCCTGGCCGACAAGTTTTGGTTGAAGATTCCACCTCCTTAGCCCTGCTGTTGCAGACTGACAGAGCTTCAGTCTGGTTTTCTGTGCCTCAAAGCAGCAAGAGGGAAGAGAAGCCCAGAACCCTGGTAATTCTAAACTTAAAGAAATTCTAAGCTTAAGTCTAAAAAGAAAGCAACAAATAAAACCTACAGCCCATATAAGTTGGGGTTGTGCGGGGTTTTTTGTTTGTTTGTTTTAAATTTGGAAAAGTCTTTCAGGCCTTCTGTAGGCTCCAGAGAAAAGGGAAGCTAGGCATGACCCCATTATTTCCCCTTGCCAGCTCCCATCACGGGGGGAAGGGGTCCCAAGTCCTAGTGCTTCCACCTTTGAGAGCAGGTAGGCGAAATGACCACTCTGTCCACGTTTGCTGCTTGCCTGCTGAGCTGACAGATCTTAACTCCATCTTACGCTCCCAAGAAATGTTGATCCATTTTTTACTCTTTCTGGGTTGGGAACTAGAAGTTCACCAGTGACATGGCCTTAGCTGATTACATGCAGAGCAGCTCAGCCCTGCGGCAGTTCCACGGCAACAGCACCTTCCAGGTGACAAATGCCAGGTGTCCGGACAAATCAGGCTGTGAGTGTGGAAATGCTGGGGTGAGTCCTTCCGTTGAAATTTAACAAACCGTTCTCCGGGATGTTTTAGTGCCGATATATCACAACTCTTGGCTGGGCTATCTAGGGCCTCAGGGTGTGGACAGGAAGTCAGGGAACATCCCAGCACTGTGCTCCGACAGAACAGTGCAATCTCAGGGGTGTTTGCGAAACAGAACAGAAAAGCAGAGCAGGAGCAGCTCTGTAGCCAGCCGAGGGTCAGGGGACTTTACACTGTGTTTTCATTTAAGGAACATGGACAGATCTGCGCTGCCTTGTTTGGGGATAATGGGACTCAGTGCCCAGCACTTGTGTGCAAGGACCCCTTCCAGCCAATCGGACACTGCTGTGAAATATGTGGTGAGTGCAGAATGGGGATTAATTCCGGTAAGCAGGCATGGACAGCATGCCTGGCCTTCTGGCATTGTATCTATTTCCTTGGCACGGGGCCTTGAATGCACTTCTGGAGCTGAATCTTGCTGCTGGCAGCTATACTTCAGGAAAGCCAAGAACAGGCTGGCTGCTGGTTTTCGGGGGGGTGATGGCAAAGTCAGAGCTTTTGGATGCAACATTGGAGGCTTGAGTTTGTATAAATGCTGGTAACTGCAAGAATTAAGCCATGGACTTAATAATCACCATATCAACATGATGGCATCTAGGGAAAGGGCATCTACACGCTAGTCTGTACTTCTGCCCTGCTCCTCCCCCAGTGCTAAAAGTGTTTTATAGTGATACTCTTCAAACATGACAGCTTCCAATAGCACATTGGTTGGGGTAGAATTTGGTTCCTGTGGGGCTTAGACAGTCCAAATTCCTGCCAGAATTTAAGCCATGTATGTTTTTTTGCATAGTTCTAGTTTCACCAGCTCTGGGTGGGCTCAAGTGGCGATGTATGATGAACAAATACAAAGGATTCATTGATTGAACAAACCCTGAATTGTCCCTGGTTCTGCAACTTTTTCCTGCTCTAGGGGATGCCCCTACGTCCTTATGAAATGAGATTAAAAGACACAGGGAAAAGATGTTAGCGTTAAAGTTCCGACCCCATCCAGACTGAGCTCCTCGGTGGAGCTTCATATGGGGTTCACCTTGCAGGACAGGGACCCAAGCTCACAGAATGATTATAGGAAATGGTGCTCAATGCTTCCTTTAGTGCCATCAGATCTTAAATGCATGACACCAATATTAACAATTTGTCAAACATCCCCTCTGCAGTTGGCAGCTATTACCCCCATTTTACAGATGGGAAAACTGAGATTCGGGGGCTGACTTCAGAGGGAGCTTCAGGGAGGGGGGTCAGCGCCTCTGAAAATTAGGCTGCTTTTGCTTAGATGCTTAAACGTTTGTATTAGGGATTTGTTCAAGTAAGTCAGTGTTAGGAACCTCTATCAACTGGTTCGAATCAATCTCACTGCCTCTTCCTACCCCCGTATTATTCCTCCAATGCCTGTCTCCAGAGCCTGAGTTATGCAGAGCACTGAGTTATATTAATTCCTTTCTGCATTGTTGTTATTGCTTTCTGGGGTTATTCTTGGATTGCAGCCCTTTGTCCCTGATTTTTACGAACCCTACCCCTGGGTTAGCCTCTCAGGGTGTCATCCAGCTAGTTCAGTCCATTACTGTTAGCACAGGCCACTAGGATGCATTCAGTGCTGGCATCAGAAATGCCACTAATGAAAAATATCCAAGGAAAAGAGCTTTCTTCTTCCAATAAATGTCTTTATCAGCTACGGTAAATTTAAGTTAAAATGAAATATACCCAACAGATTGGCGGAATTCCCTGTACATATGGGTGCTTGTCTGCTTATCTACATGGAAGGTGAACAGGAATTTTCCATACACAGGCATAATTACTACTCTGCCAAACTCATTGGGGCTGTAGCATATGGTTTTCAAACCTGTTCATACCAGCAAAACAATTAATGGAACTTCATATTTCCAGAAACGTTGACTCCTGCTTTTCAAGAAAAATATTTAGCTCAGCTAATGTGGAGCCAATTGCTTCAGTGAATGTAATTGTGCCTTTTTCTGGTGCTTTCTATCAAATGAGCTCACTGTGTTTTATGGGCATTGATGAATGCTCATCATTTCCTCTTTAAAAACTAGGTAAGTGTCAGTAGTGGATGTGGCTTTCCCAGGAGTGTTCTGAAAAAAGCTTCCCTGGGTTTTAAACCTGTAAAAAGACCAGCAATAGAGGAGGTGTTTCCTTCCAAAAGCTTTGTTCAGAAAGCACTAGCCGATAGAATTATTCTCCTTTGTGAGCTCTAGAATGAGACCCGATTACACAGGGGACTGGAGAATTGTTTGTGAATCATGTACTGATTCAGATCTTGATAGACTCTGAAAACCAAATTGATCCACATTGCCAGCCCCACAATAGCCCACTTGCAATGAGAGGTGTGCTTGCAAATGCAAAATCAATGAAGCTGTTTGTGTTCTTTCATGTCTTTCTGCACTACAGGAGCTACGATTTCACTGGAATACACTTCTGGTTTCGACATTAGACAGTATCAGAACAGACTTCAGCACACTTTCCTGAGCCTGGTATGCTAGTCTGTTTGGAAAGACTTATTTAAGACATCACTCAGATAGAAGCCAGGAAACCCCACCAATAAGACACTCAGCATTATTATATAATATAAATATTTTATAATAGACTGATATGTACTTTTTCCCAGTGATGTCATGCTGGGTGATGGCTATTTGCAGAGCTCTATCTGATACTCTTGTAACTTGGAAGTCAGGGTGGGGAACAGCTGTTTGCAGCCCTGGCAAATGACCTCAAACAGGAACTCGGCTGCTGGAGCGCACAGACACATGTTTTCAAAGTTCAGCTAGTAGGAAGTCTCCATTTAACATTGGACCCATCACCCAGGAGGGTTTCCCTTGTTTCCACCCACATCTGACCTCCCCCTCTCAGGGAAGGCTATGAACTAAATCATTACAAACAGCCAGAGCTTCTAAGGTGTATTCATTCACTGCCCATGGCACTTCTCACACCAGTATCCAGGCAGTGCACAATCATTCCTAAGGCAGCATGACCTAGTGAATAGTACACTGGAATGGGACCCAGGAGACCTGGGTTCTATTTCTGCTTCATGGTGACCTTAAGTAAGTCTCTTTCCTGACCAGTGCTTCAGTTTCCCTATTTTACAAAGGGGGCTAATGATACTGACCCCTTCCTGAACCCCCCAGGAGCCAGCTGAAACCTTGGTCCTTGAGCTTTAGGATCTAGGGGCACAAAGGTGGCTGGACCAGAGAACCCGACTCAAAGTTTTCCTTAGCAATGCTGCAGGAGAAGGCAGAGCTTGGGGTCCCTCCCTGCATGACAGGCAGACTGTCTCTGGTGTCACGGCACTCTTCACAGTTGCCATGCCAAACGCCTGGCTCTACTCCTCCGTGCTGCGTTCTCTCGCCCAACTGGCCAGTCAAGGATGCCAGGGTCACAGCAGCATCTCGGCCTGGTGCTCGAGAGCTCAGTGCCCTGCGCTGCCCCCTGAGGGAGGTGGTTTCAAAGATTCCCCACAACGGATCTCTTGGGCCAAATTCTGCTCTGGGGCAGGTAGTGCTTCCAGAGAAACTTCTTAGGAGTTATTCTGGATCTGCTCTGCTATAGTCAAGATCAGAATATAGCCCCATATAGCAAGAGAGGTGAATCTGGTTTTTCCCTCCTTACAAACCTATTTTATGGGTGTGTTACATTCACTGCCTCTTTATAAGGGAGTCACATGGAGAACACTGACTGACACTGTCAGAAGGCATTGAAGTTCGGATCCAGCCCCAAAGGGAGCAGGATTCCTACAGGCCAAACCTGCGCTGAGTATTTTGAAGTAACACTGGGCACCAGTGCCTGTTGTTTAGAGCCCTTCATGGAAAGAAGACATAAATGTGTCATTGTGAAAACACCGGGGTGAGGGGATTCACAGCAACCCTAGCTCTCTGGTGGTTTCTACATGGCGAGTTATAGCCAGCACACTTTTATGTTGCTGTGCATCACAGCTCCAGATAAAGACATGCCCTATATTCTCTGCCTGCTGACCTAGTGTGTTTTGTGTGTCTTGCTTTCTTTGAAAAGCCAAAATATGCAGGGGTTCAGATGGCTATATCCAAGGTGCGTAAACCTCAGACTTTCCTGGGAATTGTACCGCGGGCCTCAGTTCCTGTCGTCCAGATCGTGCTACTTGATGATAAGACTGGGTCACAGACAGGGACTCATGCAGAACAGTTGGCTGAGGACATCATGCATGACATAGCAGAGCATGGTAACTGTTCCCATTCCCCTATCAACGCTTCTTTCTCATTCACCAGGAGGTTAATAGGAATCACAGAAAATCAAGTGCCAGTTTATTTGACAAACAATTTACTGAAAACTCTTGTTTGCTTGAACATGGCACTTTGGCCATGTCCTCCCCACAAGGACCACACAGCAGCATATCTTTGGTGGTGTAGCTATGCCGGCACAACCTTGTAGGGCAGACGCAGCCTAGAGCAAAGGAAGGGGGTTTCTGTCATTGTAGAAATTTCACCTCCCCAACCAATAGTACCTACAAGGAAGGGAATTAGGTGCCTGAACTTAGGGACTGGGCCATTCTCCATGCAGCCTGTTCACTCTTCTGTCAGCCTAGCTGGTCTGAATAGCTATCATGCTCTGGGAGCTGGATTTTTCGCACTCCAGAGCACCGTAGCTATGCCCATGCACATGTTAAATGTAGATTAGCACACTTCAGCCTCTAAGGATATGTTTAGACTGCAGAGTTTTAGGTATCCCGGGAAAAACTCTGCTGCATCCAGGGAACTTGTCCGCTTTTTCGGAACAGTTTCTGAAAAAGTGGGCGCGTTCTTTTGGCATCCCTGTATTCCTCATTTTATGAGGAATAAGGGATGTTCCGAAAGAGCAGGTTTTTCCAACATTTGACCATGTGTAGACGCAATTTACGTATCTTTTTCCAAAAAAATCCAGCAGTGTAGACATAGCCTAAGTGTTTCACAGCCTCCCTGAATGAATCAATGCTAGGTCAGCACAACTCTTGCCAATCCCTAAGGGCTTTTCCGCATACAGGTTCAATATTCACTGGTGCAACTTTGTACGTGGACATTTAAAGCTGGTTATATCCATTTACTTTGTGTTCGTGAATTTACATCAGTATCCAGCTACAGCGTGGTACCAGTTTAACCAACTGACTTTTAAAATCGCACCTTTAGTTTTTCATCTTGTCTACACACAAAAGTTGTGCCAGTATATGGCCCAGTGATACTACCCCTAGTGTGGATGCAATTATATTGGTGCTTATACTTGAGCAGCTTATTCCCATATAGAAAGAGGACTATGTTGGTACATGGCAGCTTTACACCAGTATAACTCTGTTTCATCCTAGGGCAGTGGTCTCCAACCTTTTTATACCCAAGATCACTTTTTAAATGACAGACCAAGCCAAGATCTACTGCCCCGCCCCTCCCTTGAAGCTCCGCCCCTTCCTTGAAGCCCTGCCCCTCCCTTGAAGCCCCGCCCTCTCTATTCTCCATCACTTGCTATCCCCAATCCTTATACTGCTGCTTTTTTAAAAGGTTTTTCCACATTTGGAAGTGGTGCTCAGCTAGGGTGCACCACGCTCCACGTGGGCTGGTGCAGTGAAGAAGCTGCCTGGACTGCTGGCTGTGGCCTTCAGCCCGGAGGAGGCTGAACTGCGCTCCAGCTGATCGGGCGGCTTCCCCTCTGCGCCTGCCCACGTGGAGCTTGGTGCAAGTTTTCATATGAAGTATTTCCCTCTTGCAAAATGCATTTTCTATAGGTGGGCTCCTGTTCCCTCAAGATCAGCACCTCTTGCCACCCCTGCTCTAGCACATAAATAAATGACCTGATCTGCAAAAGGGCCCAGCAGCACCTTGGAGGGTCTTGGCCTCTGTGAAAGGTGGAGGTGCTGACCAAGTTTCATTTGGATTTATTTTTTTTAAACTGAATTGCCGAGTGAATCTTGTGCGCACAAGAACTGTGCTCGCCAGATCGCAAGAGCTGCTTCTCACAAACCCCTGGTCACTGAAACCACTGACTGCACACTGCTCCACCCCTGCTAGCTAGCCCAACCTGTGTTTGGGGAAAAGTTAATGCCATGGCAAGCTGCAGAGTCTGTTTGACTAGACACCCTACTTTCTATGTTCATTCCAGTTCGGTACAAGGATTGCAGGTGGGTAGGTTTGTATTGTATCTGACCCTGTCCTGAAAAAACCTTCTTACTTACTTTGCAGGTGACACCTTTGGCATTGTGACAGGCACGATGCAAGTCGCCACTGGCAGTAATTCTAGTGGACAAAGAGGCACTGCTGCTGGCGGCACCATTGCTGGGCTTATTGGTCTACTTCTCGGTCTGCTGCTGCTTGGCATAATGCTGTTTCTCTATAGGAAGGGAATGTTAAGGTAGGAACAGGGGTGTTCACATCCATTATATTGATAACCATTGAAGTGTCCCATTTGACAGCTGGGACCGAAAAAATGAACTCTTAGGTCTTCTGTCATTGACAGATGCATGAAATAAAGAATCTAGGGATTGGCCCAGGCCTGACCCACCATTAAAGCAATTTCATGCTGCTCCATCATTGCTAAGCTGCACTAACACTGGCAGAGCCAGCCCCCCAAATATCATCACAGCATGGGGAGGTCCTCAGGTGACAAAGAACTGCCAGAGCAGCTTGTATGCCATGCCCCATCGCTGCAGCCAGGGATAGGTCATGGCTAGGCATCCTGGCATTTCACCAATCCATGGCTGTGTGTGTTATTGGATGCTAGAGTAAATGAAGGCAGCTTGAGGTTTGCTCTAACTTGCACCAGGGACTGGTAGGTGCACAGTGGCCCCAAAGTCAAGGAAGGTCTTTGGTGGCTTTATAGGCATGTTAGTGCTTCCTCCAGATGCAGCTCACAAGCCCTCAGCTGCTGTGCTGTTCTCCAGTTTGGGTTCAGTGTGATTTTAATTTTGTGGCTTCATGGAAACTCCCTGTTGCTCCTGTCATTTTGCAGTCCCTCATCTGCATACAGGACTGACATTGCTTGCTGCAGCTCATTCGGAAAGATGAATACAGCAAAACTAGGGTTGTCGACTAATCACATTTAATGCATGTGATTAACTCAAAAAATTAAGCTTGATTAATTGCCATTTTAATTACACTGTTAAACAATAGAATATCAGTTGAAATATATTAAAAATTGTTGGATGTTTTTCTGTATTTTCAGATATGTTGATTTTCAGAGTACAGTGTTCACTTCCTATTATTTTATTAAATATTTAAACTGTAAACACAAATAAAATAAATAGTCTTTTTCGGTTCATCTCATATAAGATCTGCAGTGCATCTCTTTATTGTGAAAGTGCAATTTACAAATGTAGATTTTTGTTACAAAACTTCACTCCAAAACAAAACAGGTGCAATTTACAAATGTAGATTTTTGTTACACTGTTTTGTTTTGGAGTGCAGTTTTGTAACATTTTAGACCCTACGAGTTCACTCAGTCCTACTTCTGATTCAGCCAGTTGCTCAGACAAACAAGGTTGTTTATATTTAATACTGCTGCCTGCATCTTGTTTACACTGTCACCTGAAAGTGAAAACAGGTGTTCACATGGCACTTTTGTAGGCCACATTGCAAGATATTTATGTGCCAGGTATGTTAAACACTCATATGCCATTTCATGCTTCAGCCCCCATTCCAGAGTACATGCTTCCTTGTTGATGATGCTCGTTTTTTTAAAAAGTGTTAGTTAAATTTGTGAATGAACTCCTTGTGTGGGACTTGTAAGTCTCCTGCTTTGTTTTATCCGCATTCTGTCATCTATTTTATGTTATACCAGTTTTTGGATGATGACCAGCATGTATTCATTTTAAGAACACTTTCACAGCAGATTTGACACAAAGAAGGTTCCAATGTGAGATTTCCAAAGATAGCTACAGCACTCAGCCCAAGGTTTAAGAATCTGAAGTGCCTGCCAAAATCTGAGCGGTACGAGGTGTGGAGCTTGCTTTCAAAAGTCTTAAAAGAGCAACACTCCAATGTGGAAACTACAGAACCCAAAGCACCAAAAAAGAAAATCAACCTTCTGCTGGTGGCATCTGATGCAGATAATGAAAATGAGCTTGTATCAGTCCATGCTGCTTTGGACACCAGCTACAGCATTGCCACATGAATGCCTGGTCTCACTTTCAGGTAGCAGGCAACATTATCTCTTGCAAAAGTAAACAAATGTGTTTGTCTGTATTGCTGGCAGAGCATGAAGTAGGTCTAAGTGACTCACAGGGTCTAAAGTTTTCCATTATTTTATTTTTGAATGCAGTTATTTTTGATAACTACATTTAATTCTACATTTGGAGGTTCAACTTTCATGAGTAAGAGCTGGCTTTATAGTACCTGTATTAGGTGAATTGAAAAATAACATTTACTTTGTTTTCCACAGTACAAATATTCGTAATAAAAATAAATATAAAGTGAGCACTACACACTTTGTATTCTGTGTTGTAATTAAAATCAATATATTTGAAAATGTAGAAAACATCCAAAATATTTAAATTAAATAGTATTCTATTCTTGTTCAACAGTGCAATTAATTGCAATTAATTTTAATGGCTTTACAGCCACAATCAAGACAATTCTAAACATTTGTTCAACAACTTCATGTGTTTCTAAGTGAATTTCAGAGTGGAGTTGCCCCATATCAGTCCATTGGATCTTATTACTTTATTTATTAATTATCATGCAATTAGCACAGCCCATGTACTCAGGCAACACAAATGGAGACTAGGCCAGGGCTCTGCCTTGAATTGTTTTTGAATCCCAAATTGGCCTGAGTAAGGTGTATAGGTCACTTCTTTTCGGGGGACAGCAGCTATAGGACCTGTTGCAATACCTTGGGGCTTATCTGACTTATGCATTGGCCAGCACTTAATTGAAATCACTCATGTTTTATCAAGGGTTTCAGACTGTCTTGCAAAATAAGCAGAGCCAAACAGTCAAGATTTTATCTTTGAAATGGGAGCAGCGAGTGTGTGTGTGTCTATGTGTGTGCATGAGCACACACTCATCTGCCCAGAGCCCTGGAAGGATATAGAGCATGGGTTCCCAAACTGGGGGCATGAAGAAATTCCAGGGGGGGGAGGTGCGATGCAACCCAGCCCCCCCTTTCAAGTTTTGCTGCCCAGTCAGTTCCTCCTCCCCTTTTTTTTTTGCTCAATAAGTTTTGCTGTTGAGGAAGGGGGAGGGTGGCGTGAGGGTTTTTCAAAAATCAACAAGGGGGCATGATGCCGAAAAGTTTGGGAACCACTGATATAGAGCCATCAGGGTGTAGCTGTTCTGGGAGGTGTCTGGATTGGTTGTATTTGACACAATAGTGAGATGACAGAAGGATAAAAAGTGGGGATAAAAATGTGTGTGGTGGGGGAAGGGCCCATTCCAAGATGCCACTGTAATCAGATGGCTGTACGAGCCCATTCTGCACATATTTATCCCCTGCAGACAAATTTGGATCACCTCTCCCCGAGGTAAAAGGGGTTGGCTTAGGGTTAACAACCCTATCTGTTTAAAAAAAAAAAGTTACAGAAACCTCTACGAAGAAACCTACAACTACTCAAGTCTTGGGAGAACCACAGAGCTGGAAAAGATCTCAGAAGGTCATCAAGTCCAGCCCCCCTGCTCTAGGTAGGACCAATCCCAACTAAATCACCCCAGCCAGGGTTTTGTCAAGCCAGGACTTAAAAACCTCTAAGGATGGAGATTCTGTCATCTCCCTACGTAACCTATTCCAGTGCTTCACCACCCTCCTAGTAAAATAGTTTTTCCTAATATCCAACCTAGACCTCCCCCAATGCAACCTTGAGACCATTGCTCCTCGTACTGCCATCCGTCACTACTGAGAACAGCTTTTCTCCATCCCTTTTGGAAAACTCCTTCAGGTAGTGGAAGGCTGCTATCAAATCCCCCCTTCTTCTCTGCTGTAGACTAAAGCTCAAATCCCTCAGCCTCTCCTCATAAGTCAAGTACTCCAGTACCCTAATCATGTTGGTTGCTCTCTGCTGGACTTTCTCCAGTGTGTCCACATCCTTTCTGTAATGAGAGGAGGCCCAGAATTAGACACAATACTCCAGATGTGGCCTCACCAGTGCCAAACAAAGGGGAATAATAACTTCTCTAGATCTGCTGGCAATGCTCCTCCTAATGCAACCTAACATGCCATTAGCCTTCTTGGCTACAAGGGCACACTGCTGACTGTTACCCATCTTCTCATCCACTGTAATCCCCAGGTTTTTTTCTGCAGAACTGCTGCTTAGCCAGTCACTTCCCAGACAGTATCAATATTGGGATTCTTCTTTCTCAATTGCAGGACTCTGCACTTATCCTTGTTGAACCTCATCAGATTTCTTTTGTCCTGATCCTACAATTTGTTTTGGTCACTCTGGACCCTATCCCTGCCCTCCAGTGTATCTAGTTCTCCCCCTATCTTAGTGTCATCCACAAACTTGCTGAGGGTGCAATCCATCCCCTCATCCAAGTCATTAATAAAGATGTTGGACAAAATTGGCCCCAGAACCAATCCTGTGGCACTCTGCTTGATATCGATCGCCAACCAGACATTGGGTATGTCTACACTACAAAGTTAATTCGAACTAGCGGAGCGCTTAGTTCGAACTAGGTAAACCTCATTCTACGAGGACTAAGCCTAGTTCGAACTTACTAGTTCGAATTAAGGGGTGTGTAGCCCCTTAATTCGAACTAGTGGGAGGCTAGCCCTCCCCAGCTTTCCCTGGTGGCCACTCTGGCCAACACCAGGGAAACTCTATTGCCCCCCCTAGTTCGAATTAAGGGGTGTGTAGCCCCTTAATTCGAACTAGTGGGAGGCTAGCCCTCCCCAGCTTTCCCTGGTGGTCACTCTGGCCAACGCCAGGGAAACTCTATTGCCCCCCTCCCGGCCCCGGACCCCTTAAAGGGGCACGGGCTGGCTACGATGCCCGTGCCAGGTGCAAGCCTGCCAGCACCCAGCCAGCAG